CTAAAGCAAAATTGTCCATGCAATAAAGTGGGAATTTCCATATACCTTGATTTAGAATAGATTTTCAATCTATTTCAAGGCAAGGGATGTGGGAAATGATTGGCCAATATTGTCCTCTGTTTTTGTTGCACCTTTCTTGTAAAACAGGACAACCAAAGATGTACATTCGTCCAAGTGAGACCGGCATGGCTGTCCTTGGTAATGTTCGGAGCTTGGGGCAGTCTTTCATACATAGTTGCTCGAGATCTCCGAGGTTTCCAAGTCCCCTTGATAGAGATTCCAAGTTCTTCATGTTTTCCATGAAAAGAGTAGTCAAAGTTGAAGGAAGCATTTCGCCTTCATCATCTGGAAATGAAACCATGTCTGCAGCAGGGCATGCACCAGTGATTTTGAGTTCCTTAAGGCAGTTGAGTTTGCTTAGGCCCCATTCTAACATGGGTTGCTTCAGGTTCTTACAGTTACAGAACTTAAGTGAAGTTATGTTGGGTGGCAAACCACTGGATGGAATTGATTCAAGAGCCTCACAGTTGGATAAACTCAATTCTCCAAGGGAAGTGAGTTTCCGCATCTGGTTGGGCAAGGAGTTGATGTTGAAGATGTGAAAGATTTGAAGATTGGGTATCTGAAACCCACTTTCCGAGAAGGATTCTAAAGCAAGACGATCATCTATACACAAATATTCAAGATGAGACTTATTGCCATCCAGAAGACACTGTATATTTCTGCAGTTTCTGATACTAAGCCTCTTGAGAGTGAAGGGCAACTTGCCTTCTGGAAAGAATAGCAGAGATGGGCATCCGAAAATCTCCAGCTCTTTGAGATCATTCATGATTTCAAACGTATCAGGCAATGACTCCATGGCCATGCAGTTATGAATGGTGAGGCATTTCAGTTTAATAAGAGCTGATAGGCAAGATAACCCTTCCTTTTCACCAACCAAAGATACAAGCTTGGGACAACTCTTGATCACTAAATTCTTCAGGCAAGGCATGTTTTCTAGTTCAGATCGCTTCGGCCACAAACATGTTAGTTCCTTGCAACCTCCAATCTCTAGAACTTCAAGCTTTGCCAAGGCCTTTGTGAGTTTTTCAGTTAAGCAGGTGAGGCCTGAAATTCCCTTCATTATCAACTTGGTGATGATGGAGCTTTGTTCAACCATACTTGTAAGGATTAAGTCACTGTTGTCTTCAACATTCAATTCGCCTAAGCATGGGAAGCTTAAAGGAGAATGTATTAATTGTGGGCATCTTTTGACATCTAGTTTTACCAGGGAAGGAAGGATTCCTGGTAACTTTGCAGCTAAAATTTGACAGTCTTGCAGTACAAGCTCGCGAAGAAGAGGGAAAACTTGTACATTTCCAACACATGAATTCCATTCTTCCCATTTTTTCATCTTCTCAAACCTCAACAACTCCAAAGATGGAAAAGCTTTCTTAAGAAAAGGCGAACCGTCCCCATAAAATTCAGGGCCCAAACTTGTAAATGCATTCATGCCTTTGACATTCAAGATTCTGAGTAGTGGCAGTTGCCCCAAAGATGGCAATGATGCACAATTTATACAATCAAAAAGGTCTATCTGCACTATTTTAGCAAGATAAGGATTCCTTACCCAAGAAGGAAACATTGTAGCTCCATAACATGAAATAGAAAGCCGTTGCAGATCTTTTGAAGGGCGGAGTGACTCGAGGACTTCCAAATCGCTACAGCTGTTGCTCGTGAGTTTCTGATTACTGCTCCACTCGAGGGCTAATTCCCGGAGGTTGCTCTTTTGCTTTAAGTTAGCATCCCTTGCATCTCGAACATCCACCACATTATGCAACCTTGAAATGCAAATGCAAAGCTGACCTTGAAGAAGAGGCAAATCCTTCAAGTCTCTTAATGTCAACCCACCAGCTTTCCCAATAACATATTTGGGCAAAACCCGGAGACTAGTCAATTTTCCTAGTCCTGGTGGCATCTCTTGTAGCTTGGGAGTATCCCTTATGTCAAGATGTTGCAACTGAATCAATCTACAAATTTCAACAGGCATTTCAATGAGGTTTCTGCAGTGGGCTAATATTAATATTTGCAAGTGGTGAAGTTTACCAATAGACTTGGGGAGCAATCTGATCCCGGTTTTGGACAAATTAAGGTATCGTAAATGATTCAAATCACCAACAGTATCTGGTAGATCTTCAAAGAAGTAGCCACTCAAGGATAACACTCTCAACCGTTTCAGTTTCGGCAACAGTTGGTCTAGTACCTTGCAACTCAAGTAGCAGTGGTTTTCCTGATATGACATAGGCAGTGCTATGAGAGACCGGACATTCTTCATTTTGTTGAAGACTTGAAACCTTTGTGAGACATCATATTGGCGACGAATGAATGACACATGGCGAGCATTTTCTAGATTATGTTCATCAATTTGCAATTCATGCTCCATGTTTAAACACAAGTCCCCCGCAACAGATTGAGCAAGATCAATAAGGAGGTCATGCATTACAAACAGCGATTTGTTCTTATTCGACTGTCGAAAGAATGACCTTGAAAGCAGATCAGAAAAGTAGTGGCGACCCAATTCTTGAGGCTGCATTATATTCCCTTTGAGCTGCAGAAAACCCTCTGCCATCCATAGAAGAACCAGCTCTTCTCTATCAAATTGATAGCCCTTTGGAAGTAAAGAGCAATAAGCAAAACAGGGCTTCAAATGACAAGGAAGGTGATGGTAACTCAATCTCAAAGCTGGGAAAACTCCTCTTTGCATTATTTCTGATAAATCCCATATCTTGCTCCTGCCCAATGCTTCCCACTCTTTGTCCAACAGCTTCGCCCGAAGGAGGCCAGCCGAGGCCTTTACGGCCAAAGGCAACCCTTTGCATTTCCTCACTATTTCTCTCCCAAATTCTTTCAGATGAGGTTGAGCATCGAAATTCTTGCTTCCGAAAACATTAACATGGCAGGCTAAAATAGATAAGCAATCATCATCTGCAAGTTCCTTTAAAGGATAAGCAGCAGGTAATAAGTTAGCTGTTATTTGTGAAACATTTTGATTGCGAGTGGTGACGATGATTTTGCATACTGATGAATTCCCAACTTCAAAAGGACGAAGAAGGAGTTCCCAACCATCACAATTCTCGTGCCAAACATCATCCAAAACAATTAACAACTTTTTCCCAGATATTTTCTCCTTCAGCTTGAGATGAAGCAAATCCAGGTCATTAATATGATCACATTCACATGTTGTTACGGGTGTAATATTAATAGCCTGTAAAATGGCTTTGGTAACTTTGATGACATCAAAATCTTGTGAAACATAGATCCATGCTTTTAAATCGAAGAAGTTATCGACTCTATCATCATTGTAAACCAGCTGAGCAAGAGTGGTTTTGCCAATTCCTCCCATGCCAGTTATGGGAATCAAAGCCAAAGGGACTTCATTTTCAGTACTTGATTTCTGATCAACAAGCAACAATTTAAGGATTGCTTCCTTATCTTTTTCCCTGCCGATGAAAACATTGACTTGATTGACCAAAGACGTTGTGGGCAGTCTTTGGTCTTTATAATAAGCCATGCTAATTTCTCCTTCTTTTAATTGAAGCTCGTTCTTCTGTTTTGCAATCTCCTGGAGTCTTCGAGTGATCTTCTTTAGCTTTGGCTCCATCTCCACCCCAAACATAACAGCACTTTTCAGACCATAAGGGAAAATAATAAGCTTTTCAAACTTGGTACGAGGTTGTTGTGCTTTTGACTTGCGTTTCCAAGCTTCATAGGCTAAGTTGTCCAATACATCCTCGACTTCGTAAGCCAAGTCTCTTAACTCAGTCAACCAGATTCTCACTGTCTTGTTTGTAACTTGCTTCTCTTCTGCATCAGATAGAACAGCGTTGATACTCTGCAAAATCTGGTGCCATTTTTTGAGTTCTAAGTGAAGTTTGTTGTTCTTGGCAAAGTTGATCAAGTCAGAGGTGGCTGCGAACTTGTCGAGTAAACCCTCAAGCATTGTAGTGAAAAAAGCTTCTCCAACTGCAGCTACTGCCTCCATTGTTACAGATAAGTGAACCAGAAGTTGAAGTTATTATGATTAACAGAAATGGGATTTCAAATTTGAGGGAAAACAAAATACATAATTCCCAGAAACAGAGTAATTATGGAATGGATAAAGGTAATTAAGTAAGTTGATGACTTCATAATCATATGTGAGAAAAAAAATAATACACTGTTTCTTTTCTTCCACTTGCAATTCCACTACCGAAAGCAACAAACCTTTTTCCTTCCGCTGTCTTTGTTTGGACATTGGAGAGGCCCACGGGGAAATTTGATGGATCCTTCCTCAATTGACTAGTGACCAAGGAAGGATCGTTATTTAAAGCCTCACTTCAACTTTAAAAATAATTAAACCCAAAGACCAAGACCAAAACGTAGGAAAAACAAGGTTTTATCTGGTTCTTCTTCTCTCAATGGTGAATGGTCCATAGCTAATTAATTAACAAAAGGAAAACGACGTTTAAGAACTTAATTTCCATATCCTTCATGCTGTTTATAAAAAGACTGGAAATTTTGTGCCATATTCCATATTTTCCTTTGTCTTCTTTTAGAATTAATTAATCTTTTCTTGCAATGAATTGAAGATGGATTAATTCTAAACCTTTGCCAAACCAACAATTCAAGTTGCAGTACTAAACATTATTATGAGTAGTTTCTGTTTTGTAACAGGAACAAGACAAGCTCGAGTTATAGTGGATGTGTACCGTAGTTTAATATGACTGCTTCTGGGTCTCATCAAAATCAATCAAACTCATCATGTTTTCATTTTTCTGGACACCATTATAGAGAGGACGGTACGCTAGCTAGCTTTTAATAATAGCCAGCCATAAAATATCTAGGAAGAAATTTCCTTCTCATGGTGATGGTGGCTTTAGCCATAGCCATGGTGACCCAATTAGTATATACTATATATATATACTAAGATGTCATATAATATTTCAATTTTTTATCACCCGACTTGTTAACTCAACTGGTGAATGTACCGTGCCCCGACCGACCGTGAGATTTTGGGTTCAAATCTTACGTTATGTGAGACGGTCTGGGTTCAAATCTTACGTTATGTGAGTTTCGTTTATTTATTTGTTTGTTAGATAATTTGGGCATATGAAGATTTATTCTGATTGTAATGAAATTTCACTTATACCACTAAAAAAAACAATTTTATCAACTTTTAATCAATGAAATCATGATTTTTATTTAGTACCAAACCAAAAGTAATGATTTTTTTTGAAAATAAAAAAATATTTTTTTTATTGCAGTACAAACATTCCTAAGCTATATCAACGCCCACAAGGCACAAAGCCAATTAAGGGTAATTAGCCCTTTGATATCTTAGACTTAACTTTGCCCACTACGTTTGTACTTTGTAGGTGTTATTAAAAATACTGGTCAAAAAAAGGAACTATTAAGAATAAAAAATCAAAATTTAAGAATTTGAAATCGGCCAAGCCCAAACCCAATATTTAAAGGTATGCATAGGACAATTGGGCCTAACCCATGGACACTGCCTCTACCCAATAGGCCAGTTTTTGTTTTTGAAACAACAAATCATTGTTCAAAGTTGACTCGATAGGCCCATCAAACATCTCCCAAGTCCCAACCCAATTAAATTCGATCAAAAAAAAAACCGGAATCACTTGAAATATCGAATATTTTTAACCCAAAATGACCAAATCCAAAACTAACCTAATGTGTTCAATTGATACCTCTAATCCAATGATGATATGCTAAAAGGTGACATTTACAAAATTAAGGTTCAATCTTTTATTGGATTCGGATTTTCTAGGTTTAAGATTCAGCTAACGGCAGCCGGTGAAGGAGGGACCAAGGATTGCGGAGCAAGGTGAGTCAGTTGGTGCCGTTACGAAAAGAGTGGAAACAGTTGCGCAGAGAGTGGAACCAACTCGGAGTTACACAGATGAGGCTTATGAGCTATATGGGGATTTGGGGTTGGACTTGGCGACGGGTATTGTGCCTTCGACTTTGGGCCTAGGAGGAATAGGTCAGACTCATGCTGTTAATGGGCTGAATAAAATGAATAATATGGGTTCTGCTTTGGGTAGTGAGATTCCTTGGATTGGGCAATTCAAGTCGGGCCTAGGAGATATAACTGCTGGTTTGGATAATTCGGTGCCTAAGGAAGGGGTTTTATCAGCACAGAATTTAGCATTGCTGCAGAATGACCAGGTTAGGCAATTATTAGCTGATTTAGCTGTTGCCTCTCCCTCTTTTGTTTTTGGGGCAACTACTTCTACTTCTTCTCCTTCTCGTCGTGTAAGGAAATGGAAAAAGGCTGCACGTGCTTCCCAGTCCACCTCTCTTAATCTGGTTGCTGGTCAGAGTAATGTTAAGGAGGGGCGAAAGAGGCTGCCTGGCAGTAGTATTTTAATGCCAAATACCAGTGGCTTGGTTAAGCGGTCCCGTGAGCATGCTATGGAGGTTGATTCGACGCACTCAACAGGTCAGGACGTAGAGGGGTTGGCGCCTTATTCAGCTGACAACAGTGGAAAGGATGCTGCAGCGAAGCAGGAAGATGTGGTTAGTGGTAATTCATCTAATGCTTTAGCGGCGAAGATGGTCAATAACAACCATCTTTGCCGATCGCCATGAATTGTTTAGTGTGGAACTGCCGGGGCCTAGGGGCGGGCAGTCTATCGTTTAGTAGAGTTAATTAAATGTAATAAGCCTTGTTTTTTATTTCTTTGTGAAACTAAGAGAACTGTTAGTGAGATGGATTGGATTAGATCTCATTTAGGTTATGATTATTGTTTTGCTGTGGATTGTAATGGCCGATCTGGTGGATTGGCTTTTTTATGGATGGCTGATAATAATGTTTCGCTTTTGTCTTATTCTTTTTTCCATATTGATGTTTGTATTGGTAGTAGTGATATTGATAAATGGTGTTTTAAGCGTCATGAATCCTGGGCTCTTCTTCGTTCGTTATGTGATAGGTCCTCTCTTCCTTGGCTATGTGCTGGGGATTTCAATGAAATAATTTCCAATGCAGAGAAGGAGGGTGGAGCTTTGAGATCTAGTCATCAAATCGATTTGTTTAAGTCTGTAGTTGATTACTGTGGTTTCCATGAGTTGCTTGTAGTAGGCCCTTTGATGACTTGGCATTGTAGGATTAAAAGGGAGTTAGTTTTTGAAAGGCTAGATAGGAGTTTTGCTACTGAATCATGATGGAGAAAGTTTGGTTCTTCTCTTGAAAAACATTTGATGTCCTCCGCGTCAGATCATCTCCCACTTTTAATTTCTATATCTAGTAGGACACAAGTTTTTTCAAAACGTAAAAGGAGCTTTAAATTTGAAGATATGTGGTGTTCTCATGAGAATTTTGAAAAAATAGTTAAGGATTCTTGGTGCTCTTCTAGCCAGGAAATTGCATCAAAGTTAGCAGACTGTAGTTTAGCTTTGGAGTAGTGGAATAAAACAGATTTTGGCAATTTGCAGCATAATATAACCTATAAGAAGAAGGAGTATGAATTGCTTTATTCAGATTGTGGTGCGGGTAATATGGTGCAATTTGAAAAATGTAGATTGGAGTTGGATGAGTTACGTAGGGAGGAGTTGCTTTGGCGGCAACGTTCCAAGGCCTTACGGCTAAAGGAAGGTGATAGCAACACCAAGTTTTTCCACTCGGTGGCGCTAGTACTCGTAAACGGAGAACACTTATCAACCATATCCAGGATGACTTGGGAAATGAATGTTCTAATCCCAGGGGGATTCAACACATTATATCTGATTATTTTAAGGGTATTTTCAAGTCGGCGAATCCGAGCAATGAATCAATTCAGAAGGTGCTTTCTTCAATGAATAGTCGGTTGAATATTGATATGAGATCTAGATTGGATGCTCCTTTTACGGCAAATGAGGTTAAAGAGGCGGCTTTTCAGATGTCGAGTTCAAAGGCGCCGGGTCCAGATGGTTTTTCTCCGGGTTTCTATCAAAGATGTTGGCACATAGTGGGAGCTGGTGTTACATGTTTTGTGCTGGATTTTCTTAATAATGGTAAGCCTTTCCCGGATATAAATCACACCAACATAGTACTAGTTCCAAAATTAAAACAACCTAGGTTGGCTTCTGATTTTAGGCCCATTAGTTTATGTAATGTGATTTTTAAAATTCTATCCAAGGTACTAGCTAATCGTTTGAAAGAAATCCTACCATCTATAATTGGAGAAACACATAGTGCTTTTGTACTAGATCGAATGATTTATGATAATGCAATGATTGCTTTTAAAACTATGCATTTCATGAGAAATAAAAGAACTGGACGGCAGGCTCATATGGCTCTTAAGTTAGATCTTAGTAAAGCCTACGATAGAGCCGAATGGTCTTTTTTGGAGGAAATAATGCGAGCCATGGGTTTTCCAACAAAATGGGTTTCCTTGGTTATGAAGTGTGTTCAGTCAGTTTCTTATTCTGTGATAGTAAATGATGAGCAATGCCAACGTTTTATTCCATCTAGAGGATTATGTCAAGATGATCCTTTGTCTCCTTATCTGTTCTTGCTGTGTATGGGGGTCTTCTCTAACATGATTGAATCAGCTAATGAGACAGGTTTGCTTCATGGTATAGCGGTGTCAAAAACAGCTCCACGTGTGTCACATTTATTTTTTGCCGATGATATTTTTTTATTCTTGCGAGCTAACATGATCGAATGTCAAGCGGTTTTGTCTTTATTGAAAGATTTTGAGAGTACCTGTCGAAACGTTCGGGTCCGGGGAACCCTGTCGAAACGACTTTGGAAAAAGAGGAGTCGCCACTAATCTTTTTTCTAAGGTGTGATTAGCCACCTAATGACCTCCTAAGCCTAGTTAAATCCAAAGCTCGGCATTGGACCCACTAAACTTAAAGTCCGGTCTTCCAACCTAAATCTAGGTCCGGGAGTCTGTTACATTTGGGGAAGGATCAGCACCCCCAAATGCCCGTCAAATGACAGTACCTCTAATCTAAACTAAGATCTAGTGGGTCTAAATAAAAACGGTTGCTTTTATCTTATTTTCGAATGATGCATGAATTGGTGAATTTTATTTTAATCAGTAAACATCAGTGTACTTGAGATTAACCCGAGACCCTTCCCACGCATTATGGGGGTATCTCGGGAATAATTCAATCTCGGTGCAGAGACCAAGAATTCGTACCCGAGTACATTTACTTGGGACCCACCTGTCATCGTAAAAGACCACTGTTTACTGATTTGTAATTTTGCTAACTCACATGAATGACGACTAAGATGCATGAAAGATCGATTTTAATTACATGCATTAACACAAGTCTACCCTGAGTCAATTCCATAAACCCTTCCCACGCATTACGAGGGTATTTATGGAATAGACCGGTCTAGAAGGATCTTCCAGAAATTCGTACCCGAGTACATTTATCCGAAAGGTCTTTCATCTCGGCAAAAGACGAGTGTTAATACATTACTAACATAGCAAGATGACATATAACATGTATGATATGAATGCATATGATTCTACTTTACCCCTACACTGATTACAACTTTATATTAATTACAAATCCCAAAGACTTAATTAAGCCGATAACCTAAATATTGAATAACTTAAAAGAAATGAAAACTCAAGGGTCAAATTGGACAAACTAGGGACCTTTCTGCACATCAAGAAAACCATTAGCAAAGTTCAGGGAGCATAGAACACAAATAACGTAAACAAAGACTAAAGTGCATCAATCAAAAGTAAATCCAAAATTAGGACCAATTTAAATGAATTTAGCATGAGAAACCTAAATCAATCCTTCAACTAACTTAAACCTAAAAGAAATCAAATTCATAACCAAAGATTTAATTTTTAAGTAAATATTAATTCAAATTAATTCATCAATTCCTTTTCTAAGTTATTTTCAATTTAAAAAATCAAACCTTTAGTTCAAGGTTATGGTCTTTAAATTAAAATTAGCTCAAAAAATGGTTTAATACCCAAATTTCCAAGCTAATTTTAGTTTAAAAATTCAAACTTTGAATTAAACTTTTGATCTTTCTAATTAAAATAAACTCAAGACGGAATCAAAGAATTATTTTTGAATTAATATGAACTAAAAATAATCAAACCTTTAGATTAAAATTTTCAATTTTAAATTAGAGTTAACTCCACAAAAATTCATTGATTAATTTGGTCTTAACCATACAAACTCTAACCTAAAGATTTAATTTTTAAATTGATCTCAAATTATTATAAGCAAATCCTTTTATCCATTTAACTAATCTTTAAACATTATTGAGCTATTATAATTTATGAACTAAATCTTACCTTTTTAAAACAAAAACCTAAACTTTAAAAAAAAAACTAATCTTTAATCTTAATCCAAGTTGTCACAAACTAAAACTTCACATTTTATTAATAAAAATCAAAGCTTTAGGATAAGAAACTAAGCTTTAAACAATTTTATCACCATAATTATCAAGCTAGTACTTTTAAATCTAAATCTACTATTTAACATCATAAATATGCATAAATTAATGAAATCCAACATATTTACCAAAACATGCCCTAAACTGAAATCACAGCAACAAGCAAACCCAGATTGCACGAAATTTAAATAGGAATCAACACAGGAGGGACCAAATCGAAGGAAGCAGAAAACTTACCTTCTATCGCTGCAAATTTCCAAATCTAAAACAGTATCGTTTTGGCCCGCACCCTTTTAATCGAATCCTCTTCTCTTCTTCTTCTTTTTCTTTTTTTCTATTTTTCTTCTTTTTGAGCCTGAGCCCTCATCGATCCTCACTCCGCCGCTGCAAATCTAGCCTTCGACGGTGAAAGCCGCCATCTTGGCCTCTGTATTCCTCAAACGGAATCTTCTTGGTTCGGCTTTGGATCAAGGTTTCGCACCTCCTCACTAAAATGAGCCGCGGCTTCAACTTACGATTCCAACAAGGCTAAGCCATCGGAACTGCCTCAACTCCCTTCCCAACACTCCACTTCGCCATTACTTCGAAATCCCTCAAACAATTTTCAAAAAGAACACTTCAATCGAAAAAATCACAGCAACCAGAAACTTGGAACCCTAGAATGAGATTTAAGCTTTTCCTTCGCTCAGCAGTTCACTGTCTCTTATCAAAGATTTCCCCTTTCCTTCTAAGGTTTCGGTTTATGTTCATTTGTGAATTTTTGCGTGTATGTGACTTTCAGAGAGAAAAGTTGTGTGAGTGAGGAGAGGGAAGAGTCTCTGAATGTGTATTTGTGTATCTCCCTTCAAAAACGAAAGAGAGATTGTCGATCCAAGTGAGTATGTGTGCGTAAGGAGTGTGAAGAGAGAAGCTGTGAATTGAAGAGAGAGAGTCAGAATCCGAGTTTTTTTTTTTCAGCATGTGTTTCTTTTTTCATCGAGAGAGAGTCTGTGTTCATGATAAAAGAGAGAGTGAAGAGAGAGAGAGAGAGGATCAATGAGAGAGAATTCATTCATTGTGTGTCCAGTTGATTCCCTCCCCTCTCTCCCCTTGCCAGCTACTCCTTGATTCCTCCTTATCTCCTTCCCCTCCATTTCCCATATTCTTCACTAACCAATTTTGTCTCTTGTGCCAGATAAATGTTGTTGCGATAAAATTAGGGAGAAAATTGATGTGCACGTGTGGGAGGTGAGGTGGCAATTCAGGTAAGGTTTCTCTCTCTATAACCGACTGGAATTTTAGGTTTCTGGTTAGCAAATTGGGTTGAATTTTTACTTGCTGAAATTGGTTGACTTCTCCACTGTTGACTGTATCCGTTTGCTTTGCTGCCTTGATGCATTTTGAAATGCATGTTTGAACTGATCTGAATGGTCTTTATGGGCATAGGCTTTGCGTGCTCGGCCTTTTACATGAACCTATTGAAAAAATGAGTGGCAAGCCTGCGATTATGTCTCTCCCTCTTGTTTTTTTATTTTTAATCTTATACCCTGCTCTCTGATTTTGATTGCTGGACTGGTTCAATAAGAATTCAAAGCTTGCTCTTTGTAACAAGGCTTGACAACTAAGTTGCTAGTTAATAACTCTGTTAACAGCCTTGTTACCTCTGAATTTCCTTGCATTCAATACTTTTACTGCCCATGTATGTTCATTGCCTATTTATTGTTGCTTGCTAGACAATATGACCCTTTGCACACCTTCCTCTTCATCAATTTTTCCTTGTGAAATGGCCACTAGCTTGAATGAGCCTAATTCGACTGTATTGCCTCTTGCATGGATCACACCTTGTCTGCTAAATTAGCTTAGTCTTGGTAATGCTCTAGGACATCAATATGTAAATGCTTTCTGATCTGAAAGACTGCATTTTATGAGGGGAACTTTTGCTTGCAACTGCATTGTCTAACTCCGCCAAAGTCTCTCTCTATTTGCATAACTGCTTGGAATTGGGGTATTGCCTTGCTGGATTGTTGATCGACTGACTCTGATTTGTCTGCTTTGTTTGTGAATTTTGGTCATGCAAATGAACGATCTAAATGTAAAGATAAAAATGCATAACTAAATGCTTGCTAAGGTGATGTAATGTGACTAAGCTTATGCTAACTACAAAGCTAAATGGGAAATGTTTACTGCTGTAATGTAAAGTTGTTGAATCTGTTGGCTTTGGGAAATGCTATGCTTTATGCAGTGTATGTGAGAATGCTTGAATGGATGTCTATTGCTTGATGAATTGCTCAGCACTACTAGACTGCTTGCTGTGCTTGTTGTTGCCGAAACATCCCTTTACTATCTAGCGTTTTGCTTGTCTTGCGAAACAATGTTGTTCACTGTGATACGAAAATTGCTTACTGCTCATGCCCTTAATTTATGTGCTAAATTGTTTGGCACAAAAAAGGATTGTTTTACAACTGGAATTAAAGGCCATGTTCAATGTAGAAGCTGCAAGTACATAGCCATTGGTTCTTCAACAGAATCTCAATCAAACTTTGTCATTTCAGCAACACAAACTAAATTCTTCTTTTCTTGCTTGCAGGCTTGGATCAACAAGAGAGTCAACTAGAAAGCATAAGCTAGATCTCAAGGGAAGACAAGGAAAATTGGATCATGCAACCTAAACTTGTATTGTTCCATTTTTTGTATTTTCCAATTTCTATTTTTGTATTTTCTTTTGTATCTTTATAAGAATATAATGTAAAGGGATCATGGCATATGTTCTATATAAATGCAAATGCAAATGGCATGCAACTCTTTTTTTTTAATGATTTTCCAATTTATATATATTTTTTTGTATTTTAGAATTATGAACCTAATGACATGTGAACCAAATTACCTAAATAATCTCAAATTTAAGAATTGACTCAAATGCCCCTATATTTGCAAACAAAATTAATTTAAAATAAAGGATTAAAATGCAACAATGCTAAATTACTAAATGACACTAAACCATAAAATATGTAGAAATGCCAAATATGCACATTAAGGTTTTTTTGGGTTTTTTCAAAATGCAATTTAGACGAATGGGTAATAAATTAGCTAACCTAAATTAAAAATGGACTAAAAATGACCAAAATGCCCCTTTAATGCAAAAATGACCAAAATACCCCTGAATGTAAAAATTGATTTAAATTGAAGGATACCAGACAAAAATGGGTGTCTATAGTACCTCGGGTCAAAAAATAAATGCGGATAAATCTTTTGTTCTTTTTAGTGCCAATGCTGCTTCCACTATTAAAGGCGGTATTATGAGGTTTTTAGGAATTAGCCATGTTCTCGATAGGGATAAGTACCTAGGCCTCCCGATCATGATAGGTAAATCGAAGACTCGGGAGCTGCAATTTTTGAAGGAACGGCTTCAAAAGAAGA